AGAGTTCAATGTTTCAAATCGGAGGGCCTGTTGTCTGGACCTCTGGCCGCCTCTATGGGGGTGCCACAGGGTTCAATTCTCGGGCTGACTCTATTCTCTGTGGATATCAATGATGTTGCTCTTGCTGCTGGTGAAGCTCAGATCCACCTCTATGCAGACGACACCATTTTGTATATATCTGGCCCTTCATTGGACACTGTGTTAACAAACCTCCAAACGAGTTTCAACGCCATACAACACTCCTTCCGTAGCCTCCAACTGCTCTTAAACACTAGTAAAACTAAATGCATGCTCTTCAACCGAACGCTGCTTGCACCTGCCCACCCGACTAGAATCACTACTCTCAGCGGGTCTGACCTAGAGTATGTGGACAACTACAAATACCTAGGTGTCTGGTTAGACTGTAAACTCTCCTTCCAGACTCACATTAAGCATATCCAATCAAAAGTTAGATCTAGAATCGGCTTCCTATTTCGCAACAAAGCCTCCTTCACTCATGCTGCTAAACATGCCCTCGTAAAACTGACAATCCTACTGATCCTTGACTTCGGCGATGTCATTTACAAAATAGCCTCCAACACTCTACTCAGCAAATTGGATGTAGTCTATCACAGTGCCATCTGTTTTGTCACCAAAGCCCCATATACTACCCACCATTGTGACCTGTACGCTCTTGTTGGCTGGCCCTCACTACATATTCGTCGCCAAACCCACTGGCTCCAGGTCATCTATAAATCACTGCTAGGCAAATCCCCGTCTTACCTTAGCTCACTGGTCACCATAGCAACACCCAACCGTAGTCTGTGCTCCAGCAGGTATATCTCACTGGTCATCCCCAAAGCCAACACCTCCTTTGGCCGCCATTCCTTCCAGTTCTCTGCTGCCAATGACTGGAACGAACTGCAAAAATCTCTGAAGCTGGAGACTCTTATCTCCCTCACTAACTTTAAGCGTCGGTTGTCAGAGCAGCTTACCGATCACTGCACCTGTACACAGCCATTCTGAAATTAGCCCACCCAACTACCTCATCCCCATATTGTAATTTATTTTGCTAATTTGCACCCCAGTATCTCTATTTGAACATCATCTTTTGCACATCTATCATTCCAGTGTTAATACGAAATTGTAACTATTTTGCACTATGGCCTATTTATTGCCTTACCTCCATAACTTACTGCATTTGCACACACTGTATATATATATTTCTGTTTTTATTTTTGACTTTATGTTTTGTTTACCCCATATGTAACTCTGTGTTGTTGTTTTTATCGCACTGCTTTGCGTTATCTTGGTCAGGTCGCAGTTGTAAATGAGAACTTGTTCTCAACTGGCTTACCTGGTTAAATAAAGGTGAAATAAAAAAATAAAAAAATGACTGATGCAAAGCTGACATTTGCTCATGCGTATTCTAGTGTAATCTGACAAAATAACTTCATATTACATACAAACTGTCAGGTATTCGCCCATTGTTCCTTACAGCATCTTATGGAGATATTTCTTTAAAGATTAAAATAGCTCAGTGTTGCGCTATAATGCTTTGTCAGATGGCTAGCTTCATTGGAGGGGGTGGGTGGTGAATGAACTACATCATTTTAGAGAAGACTGACTGTGAGAATGTAAATATCAATGAAATCCAAAAGGACAGCAGGCACTTCCTTCAATTGATCAAAAGTGAAATGTTTTATAATCCCTGCTCACATTAAAATGTATGTACGTGTCAGCCTTTCAGTCAATGGAATGGACTGTATCGCCTAACTGCAAGAAAACAAACAAAAAACCTATCCTACTTAAACGGTAAATGGGAAACATGGTGTCCTCCTTACTGTCTATGTATCTCCTAACAGGAGTATATGGAGGAAACACCGGTATCTTACTGTAATTCTGTTAGTCAGATCAGGGATGGGTAATCAATGCCATTAAATGCAGGTCTTATTATGAAATATTCCTCTGGGTCCTTTATTTACTCCAGTCAATATTACCTGCCTTACTTTTGTTGTCTATTGGAAGATACAGGTAGACTGTTCACGCTGTTTAAGTATCATATCCTCTCAGGCCTTTTATTCAACCTCCTAATCAATGTCAGATTGATTATGCTAACAATGTAGCTTTTTACAGCTGTATCAGGGTTGATTATACATAAAAAAGGATTCATATTTAATTTGCATGCTCACTATGTCCAAATATTGCTTTTCGTATGGGTTGTGATTAGCTATGTCTGAAGAAGAAGTATTTTTGTAAATGTTTGTGTGTGTGTCTAAGTGATGATCATTGGTCAGGAGCTGAACACCTCACTCCCTGATCACAGACAGATGACTGTAGTGAAGAGGAAGCTCTGATTATGCTCTGACTGTGAGCTGAGTGACTGGGTCTCCTGGGCCAGCCTGCTGATGGGGCCCCAATGAGCTGCTGGAGAGAGGCAAGAACAGCTGGCACTGCCATGGCCCAGGATGCAATGCAGCTGGCATGGCCACAATCCAGCCAGGCTACTTCACAGCTATGCCTCAATCCATGCGTGTCAGTAGCACTTGAGCATATGTGAGCAGAACATGGCTAGAACTATCATCTTGAGTATTGACAGATGGTATATAATACAGATTCGCTTTGCCTACTCAACACACATTAACAGACTGTTGAAGCAAAGACAACAACTTATGTCTATACCTTGTTCTCTTTAGGTATGCATATCACTGTAAAACACACGAATGCACTCACACATCTTATCCAGAGCATTACAGTAGTAAGTGCATACATTTTTCATACTGGCCCCCAATGGGAATCGAACCCACAACCCTTTCATTACAAGCACCATGCTCTACCAACTGCGCCACACGGGACCCAGGATAAGGATGCACTGCACACAGACACACACCACAGGTCCTCTGTAGCTCAATTGGTAGAGCATGGCGCTTGTAACACCAGGGTAGTGGGTTCGATCCCCGGGACCACCCATACATGACTGTAAGTCGCTTTGGATAAAAGCGTCTGCAAAATGGCATATTATTATTATTTAAACATTTTGCAATTTCTAAACGAACTATTGTTATTACACAGTCTCAGGGATGGCTAACTCTGGAAATGTCTTTGGTCTCTACTGAGTTAGATAAATCAGCTTTTAGTTTTTTTTACACCGTATTCGTGGAACAATCTTCAAAATGTAATTTAATTTGATGTTTTGGTGCCTCCAGGGCAATTCAGAAAGCTGATTGAGGACCGTATTACTGATGAATGTGTTTGTTTGTATGACTGTTTTCTTTCTGAATGCATTTTGTATTTGTATTTACATATGTGTATTTCTGTAATATCTGTAATTCAGGGCTCATCTGTAAAATAAACCTTGACCTCAGTATGATTACCTGATAAAATTATGAAATAATTACATGGACTGGAATCCTTTGAAAACCATCCTCACAGAATATGTACACTATATATACAAAAGTATGTGGACACCCCTTCAAATTTGTGGATTCGGCTATTTCAGCCACACCCGTTGCTGACAGGTGTATAAAATTGAGAAAACAGCCATGCTATCTCCATAGACAAACATTGGCAGTAGAATGGCCTTACTGAAGAGCTCAGTGTCTTTCAACGTGGCACCGTCATAGGATGCCACCTTTCCAACAAGTCAGTTCATCAGACTTCTGCCCTGCTAGAGCTGTTGTGAAGTGGAAACGTCTAGGCGCAACAACGGCTCAGCCGCGAAGTGGTAGGCCACACAAGCTCACAGAACGGGACCGTCGAGTGCTGAAGCGCATAGCACGTAAAAATTGCCTGTCCTCAGTTGCAACACTCTTTATGGAGTTCCAAACTGCCTCTGGAAGCAACGTCAGCATAAAAACTGTTCGTCGGGAGCTTCATGAAATGGGTTTCCTTGGCCGAGCAGCCGCACGCAAGCCTAAGATCACCATGCGCAATGCCAAGCGTCGGCTGGAGTGGTGTAAAGCTCGCCGCCATTGGACTCTGGAGCAGTGTAAACGCGTTCTCCGGAGTGATGAATCACGCTTCACCATCTGGCAGTCCAACAGACGAATCTGTGTTTGGCGGATGCCAGGAGAATGCTACCTGCCCCAATGCATAGTACCAACTGTAAAGTTTGGTGGAGGAGGAATAATGGTCTGGGGCTGATTTTCATGGTTCGTTCTAGGCCCCTTAGTTCCAGTGAAGGGAAATATTAATGCTACAGCATACACTGAGATTCTAGATTATTATGTGCTTCCAACTTTGTGGCAACAGTTTGTGGAAGGCCCTTTCCTGTTTCAGCATGACAATGCCCCCGTGCACAAAGCGAAGTCCATACAGAAATGGTTTGTTGAGATCGGTGTTGAAGAACTTGACTGGCCTGCCCAGAGCCCTGACCTCAACCCAATCAAACACCTTTGGGATGAATTGGGAATGCCAACTGCGAGCCAGGCCTAATCGCCCATCATCAGCACCCAACCTCATTAATGCTCTTGTGGCTTAATGGAAGTCCCCGCAGCAATGTGTCAATATCTAGTGGAAAGACATCCCAGAAGAGTGGAGGCTGTTATAGCAGCAAAGGGAGAACCAACTCCATATTAATGCACATGATTATGGAATGAGATGTTCGAGAGCAGGTGTCCGCATACTTTTGGTCATTTCGTGTATTTTGTCATGGGTGGATGTTATTTTCAAAGTTCTTCAAGGCTTTTTTAGTCATCTTATGTCTTCAAAGCAAAGAACAAGATGTCTAAGAGCCTTTTTACAATGAGCGGGAGGGTGATTAAGACCGGGGAACACTATTGCCGTGTTTTTCCCTCGACTGTGTCATTTATTGAACCCATATAAACCGCAGCCATCTCTAAAACTAGACCCAATTTGAGCTTATTGCCTCTGTAATCAGCTGTGTCATTAAACATCATCATGAGGTACTTTGGCCCTATTTCACAGCTTAACAGCCTGATTTCAACAATCAACATCTAATAAATCATATACTGTAGAACAAAGCTATTTTCACTTGGCAGAAGCAATTCACAGATGGAGCATTATATTGCAGTAAATGTTAAATAGGAGGCAGGCATCTCACCGGTTTTTGGATCTACAGAGAAGTAAGGCTGTCCCTGTAGTATGCTATACACAATCTTGGCACTGTTCCCATAGGTGGGGTCGTCTGCGTCTGTGGCTGTGAGCTGAAACACTGATGTGCCTGCACGGATGAAAGGTTATATCAGTACTGCATTGGCACAAAAAACCCATACATCTACAACCACACAAACTCACAGACAGTACAATGTGCTATGATCACTGTAGAAACTACAATTGCATACTGTAGCACAACTCACTATATTGTCAGGGTTTTCTTATTGTAAATCTACATGGAAATACCACAGAGTGTTTCTGTATCGCATAAAGTGAGGCCGAAATCTGTTATCTCCCAATTAATCTAAACCCATGTATCAGGACTGTCAAAATCCATTTACAGAGTTGTGCATCAATGCCTGACTGCCTCTGGGATGCAGCAGGGATCTGTACCAATACTGATGACCCAGCTAATGATGTGACTGCTCTCACAGTCAGGGTACAAAGCCAGCTCCCTCCAGCCAGGTGCACCCAGCATATCAAAAGTATGTTGTCAGTATTCTGCCTTACCAACATCGGCCATCTCGGGAACAGCAGCAGCAAATGGGCCATCTGGAAACTTGGGTGCGTTGTCGTTGACATCCTGGACCTTGATTATGAATTCGGACTCAGGCTCTACAGATCTATTGGTGTAACGATCGATGGCCTGGGCATGTAAGACATACTGGCCCTTCTTCTCCCGGTCCAGGCTCTTGCTGGCATGGATGTCCCCTGTGACCTCGTTGATGACGAATATAGTGCCAGCGCCCTCTCCTGTCAGCAAGTATCTGACGGAGCCGTCTCCTTTGTCTGAGTTGGAGTGCAGCTGGAAAGGAAATGAGAGAAACTTTACACACAGATGTAACAATACTCATGTGAACATAGAAAACTATACCCAGGGATTTCACCACCAGGGTTGAGCAGGGGTTGGAACCAGTTCAAGAAACAGAAACGGAACCTGGAACGAAAATGATCCATGCTGTTCCGGAACAGAACCGTTATTTTAAAAGCATGGGAACCATTTAATAACGTTATTTTATGTTCCAGATTTTTTTTTCTAGTCCCACAACAAAACGGAACAAAGCGTCTATGCAAAGCCCTCACTCTGTCACTCAAAAACGTGAAAATCTTTGCCTGTATGTGTTTAGGCTACCTGACCCTCCCCCTCCGAAGCATAGGCTACTGTGCTGATGTTATACGTTTGATTCAGAAGATAGAGAGATTTTTTATTAACTAGAGAATAATGGTCAATGCTAGTTAAGGATAATATAGGCCTAGTTATCACATTTCATGTTGGAGTCATTAACGACAAAAAAGTAAGATGTGTTTTTAATTCTGGTGCCGCTCTGCACACACAAGCTTGATAGCTAGCTAGCTCAAAGGACATTCAAATTTCCACAATAGAAGCTGCTCCTCCTAGGTATAATTCGGTGGACCTAATTCAGATAATGCATGTCATAACAAGATGCCCAGCACTTCAAGTGTCCTCCTCAACCCTCTCTTTCAGTCGCATCTTGCACCATAGGCTACAGTTTTCTGTCCATCACGCATGTAATTAACTAGCTTGCCTGCTCTAGCCGCACTGATTGGTGAAGTAATTTAATAAGCTAAATGTAAAAAACTTGATTTCGCATGTATAAAAGGAACATAAAAGAAATATATAAACAAATACTTTTTTGGGGTTCGAACTGGTTCAGAACTTTATTTTGCTGGTCGGAACAGTGCTGGTAGAGTGGTTCTGTTCAGAATGAAACGATTGGAAAATAATTTCAGTTCCAACCCCTGGGGTAGAGGTCGATTCTAGTTCAGTCAGTTCAGGAGAGGAACTAAAATTGCGCCTCACTAATGGAAGTGACTAACCATAATTAAAAAATAGGTTTACCAGAGGGGTACCAGCTGTATAAATCTACAGAATGTTAGTGTACAAGTAGCCTGGGTACCCGACTGTTTCTGCATTCACTTAAATCAAAAGCAGACTGGCAGAAAAATATAGATAATTGTCACATAGCTGCATAACGCTATCACTACATACCATTTAAGTGTTCAGTGTTTCAAAAATAATCTGTTTGTAGTGTAGACATTAATAATTCATACAAATCATGAATGGGAAAGTCTCTGCTATACAACTGATAATTTATCAGTTACACTAGTAAACAAACCATGCATCATTGTTGTCTGACATATCACATGCAGCCAATGTTATGCAAAGAGAATCCACACTCCTCAAGTATTTGGAGCTAGGCTAAATCATTGGGGTATCATATGATACTGATCTATATAAAAATGCTGTGTCAACTCTGATGTAAAATGTTGAAAAGAAGAACAAGAAGAAGAAGAGAAGAACAGTGTTTCTAGCTGCCTTGGCATTTTGAGACTAATGTATTCCCCTTCGTAGCCTAGCAGAACAAAGCCAATGCAATGTGTGAACACTTATTCATTCAAACAGGTAAATCCAGCTCTATCCAGATTAGTTGTGCTACACCGAGTTGCATCATTTCAAATTAAATCTGTTGTACCTTGTTGACGTGTCATCTGAATATTTCGGGGTTGTGCCTGCGTGCCTGGCACATGGCTTTTTACAAACACTTAAACAAGTCAAGGGGGTGGAAGGTCATTTGAGAGAGGTGTAAAACACCCCCATTAGCTTTATAATTGATCAGATGGAATATCATAAATATAGCAACCAGAGTATGACTTCTCCATTCATATCAATACACCACTTCTTAAGAACATGGGCTGAATCCCAATAATCACTCCTTTCTCCCAAAGTGTGCACTTGTTAACTTCCCCTCATGCATTTGAAAAAAAGACTGGTCTATGGAAACTCCCTCTAGCCCATGCCTTCACCAATCCAATGCTTTTATATTTTGGGGAGTAGTGAACAAGTGCACACATCAGGAGGATGGAGAGATTATTGAGATGCACCCATAGCCTCCATGTTTGCAGACAGCAGTGGTGCTGACGCTGAGGGGGGTTCTGTAAGGAGGAAAGTGAATGATGGATAACAAACCATTAAAGAAAAACTGTGAATCCCTTGACAGCACCAACGTTGTTGGAGCTAGCTTGCATCATCTGTAGAACAACACAACTGGCCAGCAAGTCAGTTATCCTATTATGAATGCAAGTGTTTGCTCTTTGGCAGAATGTTATTTTCTCTACAGACACTGAGGGGAAATGTTCTGAATGAAGAATGAAGCCAGCAGCTGTTGGCAGTTACAGTCCTCAGTGTATGGTTTTTATTGCCTCCACCTTCAACCCTTCAGACGCACACGCACACGCACACACACACACACACACACACACACACACACACACACACACACACACACACACACACACACAAACTGCTCTTAATTCTTGGCAGTGAGTGTAATCCCTTAACAGAGAGCAATTAGCTAAGACAGTGTTCACCTCCACACCTCCTCCCATGCCTGAAGAGCGTACATGCAGCAACCCTGTTTGCTACAGAATCACATGGAGAGTGTCCAAGATGTTACTGCTGCAGATTCACATGAATGAAGACCAATATAGACCAATAGAGGACCAAATTTACAACATGTAGGTTAAGTAGTGGACATTATTGTTCACTTAGGACACCCCAAAACACAGTTTAATAGGCTACTACACAAGAATAAACGTTATTGCGTAGTACACAGTAGGTGCAATATACAGTACATAAGAATCCAAGGCCGATGTTGTCACTCAGTGGAAGTTGGTGGAACTACTGTGATGACAACCTTGGCTTTCTCAGGAAGTTTGGGCTGGCGCAAGCATTTACACTGGCTCAGAATACTGCGCTTACTCACAGAACATGCTGCCTGCAGTGAGGGAGTAGCATTAATTTATCTTTCGCTATGGTGCCTTTATTCAGTAGCAGGGTAATGGGTGTACAGCTCATGACTGATGCTTACCCTAGGCCCTGCGTTATCAAAGAGATGAAAGGATAAAATAAGAGCCCTGTCTGGGAGCTGGTGGGGGGAAAACCCCCAAAAGATAAATAGATAAATAAATATATGGAACTATCCACTTTGGTAATATATCACCAAGGGCCTGGTTGCAGAATGGATGCAGAGCATGAACTGATTTCATGATATGCAGACAGGCTGTGTGTCTGCTGTCCACTTTTTCCATATGGTGCGTTTCTTGTCTCTCTTTGTGTAAGAATTAGTTATTGTGCTTGGTACGCCTTTACTTCATCGAATTTCATAAAAGGGAAAATGCTTTATCTACAGGGAGGAAGAATAGCCTCAGTTGCTATACTGCAAGATCCCACTGTAAAATTCCTCCACTACTTCATCCAGTAATAGACTCTCACCGGCATACTGTAAATACTTCCAGTCTTAGAAGCAGTTTTAGAAGCGTTTTTGGAGTAAGACGTGTGTATGCACATAGAGCCGATAGCCTAGTTTGCAAACAAAGACAGTGCATAGCCTACACATTTCTATTGTGGGATTTGATTGAATTCCAGCCTGAGGACACTAATATTCATAATGATGCCATTTAGATTGTACTTAAATAATGACACGAAACTGTCTTCCCATACACTGGCAGCTATCCACTCACTAAGTTCCCATAGAGCCAAGATAACTGGTAGAAGCTTGTACAGAGACTGATAAACTGACTATGATCCAAGAACCCGCTGACTGAATAAATCAGGACTCTACCCCCTCTGCTAACCACAAATTACATGAGGCACACTGATGGAAAGGTCAACTTTATGCTGCAGCAAGAGCTCACTGACAATTATTTTTTTATACCCAGTCTTGGTATTAGTGAGCCGGGGTGAAAGATTTTGTGTAATCTTTGTCTCTGAGGTCTGATAAGGGATATTTAATCATACTATCTAACTCTACACTCTTCGAAAAAAGGTGCTATCTAGAACCAATAAGGGTTATTCGGCTGTTCCCATAGGAGAACCCTTTGAAAAACCCTTTTTGGTTCCAACACCCTCCTCTACACGTCAATCCCGGTCACGTTCGTTAAGGAACGGGTCAGACCAAGGTGCAGCGTGATATGCATACATGTTTATTAGAACCGAATAAACAACTACAAAACAACAAACGAAACGTGAAGTCCAAGGTACACAAACAACATACCTAACACGGAACAAGATCCCACAACCCACTAGTGCCAATAGGCTGCCTAAGTATTGTCCCCAATCAGAGACAACGAGCGACAGCTGCCTCTGATTGGGAACCACACCGGCCAACATAGATCTAGAAAACCTAGATCACAAACATAGAAAATCACACCCTCGCTCAACAAATAAGAGTCCCCAGAGTCAGGGCGTGACAGTACCCCCCCCCCCCCCCCCAAAGGTGCGGACTCCGACCGCACAACATAAACATAACAGGGTAGGGGCCGGGTGGGCATTCCGCCTCGGAGGCGGATCCGGCTCAGGGCGTGACGACCTCTCACTCTTCGCCTCCCTGTTGTGCCCCTGGTCTGGTCTAGACCTCGGCGCGTTGCTTCCCCTCTCCTTCCTCCCACTATACTCCAAGCCCTGTCTGGACCCTGGTGTAGGAGACCCCGAACCTGGAGAGGGGCTGACGTCTGGGTCTGGACTGGAGCCGCTGACCGGAGCTGGACCGGGCACCGGTGGAGCGGACTGCTCAGGCTCCGGACTGGAGCCGCTGACCAGAGCTGGACTAGGCACCGGTGGAGTGGACAGATCTGGCTCCGGAGTGGAGCCGCTGACCGGATCTGGACTTGACCCCGGTGGAGCGGACTGCTCTGGCTCCGGAGTGGAGCAGCTGACCGGAGCTGGATCAGGCACCGGTGGAGCGGACTGCTCTGGCTCCGGAGTGGAGCCGCTGACCGGAGCTGAACTGGGCACCGGTGGAGCGGACTGCTCTGGCTCCGGAGTAGAGCAGCTGACCGGTGCCGAACCAGGCACCGGTGGAACAGGCACGGGCCGTGCCGGACTGGACACTCGCACCACTGGCTTGGTGCGAGGAGCAGGAACAGCCCGGACCGGGCTGGCGACGCGCACCACTGGCTTGGTGCGAGGGGCAGGAACAGGCCGGGCCGAGCTGGCGACGCGCACCACTGGCTTGGTGCGAGGGACAGGAACAGGCCGGACCGGGCTGGCGACGCGCACCACTGGCTTGGTGCGAGGGGCAGGAACAGGCCGGGCCGGGCCGGGCTGGCGACGGGCACTACTGGCTTGGTGCGAGGGACAGGAACAGGCCGGGCCGGGCTGGCGACGCACACCACTGGCTTGGTGCGAGGGGCAGGAACAGGCCGGGCCGGGCTGGCGACGCGCACCACTGGCTTGGTGCGAGGGACAGGAACAGGCCGAACCGGGCTGGCGACGTGCACCACTGTCTTGGTGCGAGGGGCAGGAACGGGCCGGGCTGGCGACGCGCACCACTGGCTTGGTGCGAGGGACAGGAACAGGCCGGACCGGGCTGGCGACGCGCACCACTGGCTTGGTGCGAGGGGCAGGAACAGGCCGGGCCGGGCTGGCGACGCGCACCACTGGCTTGGTGCGAGGGGCAGGAACAGGCCGGACCGGACTGCAAAGGCGGACTGGAGGTCTGGAGCGGAGAGCTGGCACAACCCGTCCTGGCTGGCTACCCACTTTCGCACTACACGTGCGGGGGCGCTGGCACAGGACGCACTGGGCTGTGCACGCGTACTGGCGATACAGCTCGTAGAACTGGCGCAGGATATGCGGGACCGAGGAGGCGTACTGGAGACCAGGAGCGTTGAGCCGGCAGACCCCGTCCTGGCTGGATGCCCATCTTCGCACGCACGTGCGTGGTGCTAGCACAGGACGCACTGGGCTGTGCACTCGTACTGGCGATACAGTACGTAGCTCCGCATAACACGGAGCCTGCCCAGTCACACGCCTCCTCGCGTGAGTACGGGGAGTTGGCTCTGCTCTAACACTAGGCTCCGCCAACCACCCTTTTAACCCCCCAAAAACATTTTCTTGGGGCTGTTTCTCTGGCTTCTTCCTCGGCCGGCGCCTTATGCGTTGCCGCTGCTCCTCTCTATACCGCGCCTCCATTGTCTCATCCCAAGGACGGCGATCCATCCCGGCCTGAATCTCCTCCCATGTCCAGGAACCCTTTCCTTCCAGGATCTCCTCCCATGTCCAGGCTGTCTGCTCCTGGACACGCTGCTTGGTCCTCGTTTGGTGGGATCTTCTGTCACGTTCGTTAAGGAACGGGTCAGACCAAGGTGCAGCGTGATATGCATACATGTTTATTAGAACCGAATAAACAACTACAAAACAACAAACGAAACGTGAAGTCCAAGGTACACAAACAACATACCTAACACGGAACAAGATCCCACAACCCACTAGTGCCAATAGGCTGCCTAAGTATTGTCCCCAATCAGAGACAACGAGCGACAGCTGCCTCTGATTGGGAACCACACCGGCCAACATAGATCTAGAAAACCTAGATCACAAACATAGAAAATCACACCCTCGCTCAACAAATAAGAGTCCCCAGAGTCAGGGCGTGACAGTACCCCCCCCCCCCCCCCCCCCCAAAGGTGCGGACTCCGACCGCACAACATAAACATAACAGGGTAGGGGCCGGGTGGGCATTCCGCCTCGGAGGCGGATCCGGCTCAGGGCGTGACGACCTCTCACTCTTCGCCTCCCTGTTGTGCCCCTGGTCTGGTCTAGACCTCGGCGCGTTGCTTCCCCTCTCCTTCCTCCCACTATACTCCAAGCCCTGTCTGGACCCTGGTGTAGGAGACCCCGAACCTGGAGAGGGGCTGACGTCTGGGTCTGGACTGGAGCCGCTGACCGGAGCTGGACCGGGCACCGGTGGAGCGGACTGCTCAGGCTCCGGACTGGAGCCGCTGACCAGAGCTGGACTAGGCACCGGTGGAGTGGACAGATCTGGCTCCGGAGTGGAGCCGCTGACCGGATCTGGACTTGACCCCGGTGGAGCGGACTGCTCTGGCTCCGGAGTGGAGCAGCTGACCGGAGCTGGATCAGGCACCGGTGGAGCGGACTGCTCTGGCTCCGGAGTGGAGCCGCTGACCGGAGCTGAACTGGGCACCGGTGGAGCGGACTGCTCTGGCTCCGGAGTAGAGCAGCTGACCGGTGCCGAACCAGGCACCGGTGGAACAGGCACGGGCCGTGCCGGACTGGACACTCGCACCACTGGCTTGGTGCGAGGAGCAGGAACAGCCCGGACCGGGCTGGCGACGCGCACCACTGGCTTGGTGCGAGGGGCAGGAACAGGCCGGGCCGAGCTGGCGACGCGCACCACTGGCTTGGTGCGAGGGACAGGAACAGGCCGGACCGGGCTGGCGACGCGCACCACTGGCTTGGTGCGAGGGGCAGGAACAGGCCGGGCCGGGCCGGGCTGGCGACGGGCACTACTGGCTTGGTGCGAACCCTTTCCTTCCAGGATCTCCTCCCATGTCCAGGCTGTCTGCTCCTGGACACGCTGCTTGGTCCTCGTTTGGTGGGATCTTCTGTCACGTTCGTTAAGGAACGGGTCAGACCAAGGTGCAGCGTGATATGCATACATGTTTATTAGAACCGAATAAACAACTACAAAACAACAAACGAAACGTGAAGTCCAAGGTACACAAACAACATACCTAACACGGAACAAGATCCCACAACCCACTAGTGCCAATAGGCTGCCTAAGTATTGTCCCCAATCAGAGACAACGAGCGACAGCTGCCTCTGATTGGGAACCACACCGGCCAACATAGATCTAGAAAACCTAGATCACAAATATAGAAAATCACACCCTGGCTCAACAAATAAGAGTCCCCAGAGTCAGGGCGTGACAATCCCATTGATTGATAAGAGGTTGGGATGTCTGTGGACTGGGGCTGTAACCTTGTAATCTAAATCAGAGGAAAGGTTAGCATCAACAATCAGTGTGCAGTACATGTCTAGCCTATACAGAGAACAGCTAGTTATATATAGTAGCTGTGTGGAAGGAGAAGGTTGTGTAGCTAATTAGTCACAGCAGAGCAGAGTTGAGATAATTCAGATACATGTGGCCATTTTTAATCCTTTCATCTGAAGCTGTGAAAAGTACAACACAGTTTTCTAGGGCAGGTCTGTCTGGGTCTGGGCTTCACTCTTTGCACTCTATCCTGGCTGAGCCTCTAAGGGGATAAAGGAGGCAGAGAAAATGTCTGTGGGAATTTGGAAAGGTGTAAACTATATTCTTTGGGTGGTGGACCATTCTTGATACACACAGGAAGCTGGTGAACGTGAAAAACCTAGCAGCGTGGTAGTTCTTGACAGAAATCGGTGCGCCTGACACTTACTACCATACCACATTCAAAGGCACTTCAATCTTTTGTCTTGCACATTTACCCTCTGAATGGCACACATACACAATCCATGTCTCAATTGTCTCAAGGCTTAAAAGTCCTTTGATAACCTGTCTCCTCCCCTTCATCTACACTGATTGAAGTGGATTTAACAAGTGACCTCAATAAGGGATCATAGCTTTCACCTTGATTCACCTGGTCAGTCTATGTCATGGAAAGGGCAGGTGTCCTTAATGTTTTGTATACTCAGTGTAGATCTGTGGTGCCCACTAGAATCAAGCAGATAAATGTAGGCTTATGTGCTGTTGAAAATGGCTACTTGATACTTTATTGCCTGCTGTTTTCCTCATGGTGAAATCAATACCAAGAGAGGTACCATCTTACTGGAAGAAGAAACCACAATTCCACTGTCACAGCATCTTTGAGAAGAGTGACTCACACTCTCAATCACCCCAACAAACAATTGATCAAATGTATCCTCCCAAAATGTCTTCTTCATTCAAATTCATACAGAAAATGATTTATTTAGATAACTTCTTTAGGTTGTATCGTCGTATAATAGGTTTACCCATTTCTATAATTTATCATAGGGAGTAGAAATGTATGTTTTTTGTTGTTGCTGAAAGTAAACAGAGTTTTAAGCTATAAGCTCAAATCTTTTCCAAAAGAAAGAAAAGTGCTCTAAACTTTCGTAAACGTACGTCTCAAATAACCTGGTACAAAATTGCTTTCAAATGACTTACTGTGCACCCCCAGGTGCAGTGGCAATCATCAACTTTGTATCATGCAAAAACACAGACAGACTGCAATATGTAGGCATACTGTTTTCCTCTCAGCATGAAAATACCTCACATCAAAATAATGCCATTAAAGGTGAACATGAATAGCATACATACCTTTCCAACATGCTGAGCTTCAGGTCCAATATGTTCCTCTAAAACGAAGAACTGGTTCCATATCCAGCCCCTCTTGGGCCGGTGGTGCACGTCTCTCTCTCCGTCTGGGTGTTTGGTTTGGTTACTGGGTGCTCTGACGTTTGGCCTGAGCTGGGATGTCCCATAGCTCCTCTGGACAAAGCACAGGCAGATCAGCAAAGGGCAGAGGCAGGCAGTGGTAGCAGGAATTCTCATGGTAGAGAACGTATGCTTCTCTAAGTCCTCCACTGTACCATAGGCACACAGTGTACCCAGAGGCCACAACAATGTCTCAATAGTAAGACAGTACTAGGTGTAGATCAGACCAGTCCAGAGATTTCTCTTAAATTCCATGGTTTGTTTCAGTCTGTCCATTAGGGAGAAGAACCAAGGTCCATTTCCATGTCGGATGGAGGCGGAGGAGAGAGGCTGGTTGTTAATTTGCTCAGAGAATCCTCAGAAGATTTCACCAGTGGTCTGGTCTGAGCAGGTTGCCATGCTGTTTCCCCTTGAAAAGATAAGAAGAAACAATATTAAGAAAACAGGGATAATGTTTTTCTTTCTGTGAAATCCCCCGATGCAATTTGATGGAACGGCTACTCTGAAATTACACGTTGACTCATTTTTAGAAGCACAATGTTCTTTGCTGATGAAAACTGTCATTTTGACTTGATTTCTGAGAGGCAATTTCCACTGTGTCCATGAATTAAGTATTTCTGTCCGCTTCGGATGCAAACCGAGGATTCAAAACTACATTGCTGAGTCTGAGCTCAAAAGGCTAAGTTGTCTCTGACATACCTCACAACTGAAAGACATTCAATTTAACATGGTTTTATGAAAGCAGGAGAGCCATAACTGTATCTCCATAGGCCATAACAGCATTTTGGGGACATTTTGGGGAGTCTATCACAATGATAAGCTGATTTTGAGCATTTGATTCTCACAATCTATTACCCTGTTACAGAACATTTGTCACTTGGTAAACACATGCATAACTGTGGTTCTATCTTCCAGTTTCTGTCAATATTGTACTTTTAATACTTTTGAATAATTCAGTTGTTTGGATATTCTGTGAGAAAACAATAAAAAAAAATTAAATCACTGTTTTTAAAAATGATATTGCCATGACATGTTAGAAGACATGTTATGCGTCTGCTACTCAGCAAAGCAATGGAGGCTGGTGGGAGGAGCTATAGGAGGACGGGCTCATTGTAATGGCTGGAATGGAATCAATGGAACGGAATCAAACATGTGGTTTCCATATGTTTGATGTGGTTGATACCGTTCCATTAATTCCATTCCAGCCATTACAATGAGCCAGTCCTCCTATAACTCCTCCCACCAGCCTCCACTGCAGCAACGCATTTTGTGTTTTCCTTTCCTTTTGATAAGACCAATATCTCAATATACAATAAATATATTTATCATACAAAAGAGCCGAAACTCTGAGTGATGTTTTAAATGTTTACTCAGCGAAGATGTACCAGCTGAATACATCCATTCAATACAGTGCAGTGTCCACTTTCACCCTTAGCTCTCGCCCCCTCCCTTCCACAAAGGTCCCAGAACTCCGGGAGGTATGTCAAATGTTTATCTCTTCACAAAAAAAGGAGGAGAGAGTAGTGGCGTTGAGAGTGTCGAGCACAAAACTCTGAGTCACATGCAAAAAAATTATAACATTGAGATATTTGGTTACAGTAATCAAATTCAACATATCACAACAGCTTGAGTGTAGAGTTTCAATAAACCGGTAGACCATACTTGGCTAAGCAACCAGGTGACGAACTTAACCATTATAACAGTGTTGTTGACATGAGACTACAGATACAAGTAGCTTGTTAGCGGCTGGGGTGTACAACAGGGCCTTCTCTCTCGACCTTGGAGGAAACCCTCCCTAACTTAGACTCAATGGATTCTTACAAAGATTTAACTTGTTTCAGAAACCACCTGCAGGATGACCCCATATTCTATGATAACACCCACCTTGGCAGTGTAACTTAATATTACCTCTAAAAAAAATAATAACATAATAACAAATATAATTAATTACCCATGCCGAATTAGAATGACAACCCTCGATCAAGTCATAAGGAACATCAAATAGACTAGATACAGGTTTCTCTCACACCCCTCATGTGCTGTTGTGTGAGTAATGCACCCGCCCCTCCCTTTGTGCTTTCTTCATAGTTCAGGGGCCGCGCTCTGTCTCCCCCCCCCCCCCCCCCCCCCCCCCCGCTCCCTCCTGGCACTCATTCTTCTGGCATCTCTTCATTTTCTTCTTCAGATAGCTTTATAGCTTTACAGTTCATACTCACAATGCCACACATGTAACTGTGTGAGTGGGTGGCCCTTGATGATATCCCAACCAGTATCTGGGGGATAGTCAGATTTTCCCAACCAGACAAGTCTCTCAACCATCCATTACTGTCCATTCTGTCTCCTCCATTTTTTTAAATTAGAGAGCAGCATGAGAGAAGCTTAGAAGTGATCTCTCTCCATGCTCACTCCACGTGCTCGGTCTCAGGACTCATGCCGCACTCCTGAGAGAAAAGGCAGTTGATATATGACTGAATGCTGTACAAAGGTTGCTGGCTCGGTCTCAGGTAGAAATGCTGAGGGACAGGGCTGCAGTGGACGCCATTGCCACCATTACTTCAGTCGGTTATAGGGGGTGGGGCTCACACTGATTTCGGTCAAATTATCCCTTCAATGCATCTAGATACCATCCGGGGTCACTATCGCCATAACCTTGAGAGAAGACAGACCAGAACAACAGTTATGGGCATTTCTGATTCAAGAATTCAAGACAGACTATTCACTATATGACTAATTATTACACTTTCCAACATTCTTAATACAAATATTTTAAAAAATGTCAAAGAGAATACAAAAACACTTTTGAAACCATTTTGCAGGTTGGCTTATACTTCCCTATCATATTTGGCGATCTCACCGCAGAGTTACAGGGTCAGGGATTTAGAGGGCTAATCTCGACAATACAGCAGACCCAATTTTGGCGAGATTTATATTGAAGCAAAGACAGTAAACAAAACAAACAAAACAACAACAGCAATACACTTCTTCACATAATTAGCATTTACATATTATATTAACATTTCACCCAGTGTCTCTGATCTTTTTAGTGAGAGTGATCAGGCCTCACCAGAAAATCAAAATTCAGTCACTAGATACTAGAAAATGTTATTTGTGTGTCCTTAAAAGTGCTAAAGTGCATCCTTTATCACCCGTGAAGAACCTACTAAAACCAAATAAAAAGACCACAAACAATAAATCAGACACGGTATTAACACTACTAACAAATATTCCTAATTATAAACTGGGTGGTTCGAGCCCTGAATGCTGATTGGCTGACAGCCGTGGTATATCTAAGCAATAAGGCCCGAGGAAGTGTGGTGTATGGCCAATATACCATGGCTAAGGACTGTTCTTACGCACGACACAACACAGAGTGCCTGGACACAGCCCTTAGCCATGGTATATTGGCCATATACCACAAACCCCCAAGGTGCCTTATTGCTATTATAAACTGGTTACCAACATAATTAGAACAGTAAAAATAGATGTTTTGTCATACCCGTGGTATACGGTCTGATATACCACAGCTGTCAGCCAATCAGCATTCAGGCCTCAAACCACCCAGTTTATAATAGACTGTATACCACGGGTATGACAAAACATTTATTTTTACTGCTCTAATTACGTTGGTAACCAGTTTATAATAGCAATAAGGCACCTCGGGGGTTTGTGGTATATGGCCAATATACCATGGCTAATGTCTGTATCCAGGCACTCCGCGTTGCGTCGTGCCTAATTGGCCATATACCACACCCCCTCGGGCCATATTGCTTAAGTAAAGATGGATGTGTTGTGTGTATGCAGTTGTGTGTGTGTGTGTGTGTGTGCTCTCCCAAGACAGCAGGCTTCAGGAATCATTTCTAAGGGAGGAATACAGAATCATTGTTAAACTCATCAGAATACTTGGTAGGGGACACCCCATCCTCTCCTAGAAAATAAAATAAACATTTTGTTAGTTTTCCCTATGCTAAATCGTAATCAGTCCTAAAAATGTAAAATCTTAATCAGTCCTAAAAATGCAATATTAAAAACATATCCTATTAAATTATTCATACCACTGTTCCAATTTTTCTACTCTCTTATAGCCTGTTTGAGTTCACAACACAAAGGGCACATCTTATCTTTATCCCAAACACCAGATGTGCTGGGGAGGGAGAGGAATGGTGAGCTCGGATTTAATATCAGTCCCAAAGCTCAATCCCTCTGTTCACTTAGGAGCATATCAAACAATAGAACGCAGATGCTGTCAACAATCGTATTTGTCATGTGACCTTATATTGAGAACCGTAGCTTCAAATTACTAAGATATTGTATTATTAGAGTGCTGGCTGAAAACATATTACTAGGAACTATACTGGCCAGGGGCGCAACTTCCACTGGGGACGGGGGACATGGGGGGACGGGGGGGACGGGGGGGTGGGACATGTACAGTGTGCTTTAGGACCATGCGGACGCCTCTGAGCGGTCGAGTAGGCTGTTTGGAGTGTTTATCTGACTGGATAAAAAAAAAAAATCCTCCCCACTTCTAAAACCAAAGTTGCGCCCCTGATACTGGCAATACTCATTACACTTGACTCAAACTGATAGAATACCATGAATCCTTCCTTTTTACTCAGAACACACTTTCTTTATGTTACTTTCACTAGTCTACATATCTGTTTCCTTCAACTCAGACTCTTCCACTCTTCCCAAATGGAAAGCTCTCTCAATCACCATCACCCAGTACATTTCTCTTCCACTCCAACACTTGTTTTACTAGGTGAACAGAAAGGTTTTAATTACAGACAAAACATGACAACTTCTATTCACAGGGAGGCAAGTGTCCCCCCTTTACTTTCTCCTTATTGGAAGGCATCGTTTGTATTTTAGTCTACCCTAATGTTTTTACTGTATATACTGTATTTATTAACAATCTCCGTTGGATATTCACCATTGGCTTCACACTCATTAATGTCTATTATTTTGAGATTAATATGTTATGTACCAAAATTATAAAATACATCAGCCAGATACCAATTTTAACCAAATTAAAACATACTGTATTGATTGAACTACTCTTTGCCGCTTTCTGCATCGTTTCCTGTTTTGTTTTAGTCTCTTTTAACTCTTGGGCGAAGTGG